GATTTATATAGATTTCTGCCTGCGCATAATTTACTACTAGCAGTGAGAATATGAAGGCTTAAATCTGTGGTGGGTGTTGAGGGATTTTTTTGCATTGCAGTAAGTGATGAAAGAAATGAGGCAACTTCCTGTTCCGTTACTTCATTTCTGTCCCATTGGGTTAAGGTAAGTTCAATAGAATCCAACCCAGTGTGGGTTCCTGGGTTTCCTTAGCCCAAACTCTTATCTCTGACAATGGGCCAGTTTGTGAAATAGCGTCTATTCATATAAGATGGGCCTTGATATATAGGAATGATGAGACAAACATTTTCATGTTAATTTAATTCATCCACCCACCCACCCACCCACCCATCTTTTAAGAATTTGTCCTGGTCAGGGGTATGTATAGGGAAAAAGATGGGGTGCAACCTGGAAAGGATGCCGGTATTTATTACTGATAAAATATTAACTTTTGCCCATACAGGCCCATCAGCTACCTAGCTGCAGTGAAAACAGTGAGATGGGTGATTTAAAAAAAGACCTGTACTGAAAACAGTGAGCCTTCCAAAAGGCAGGGTGTCCTTGCGAAGGAATTTTTATCTATGCATCACATGGGGTAAGACAAAAAAAAAGCATGCAACTTTCCTACAAACCCATCCACAGATTGGGAAGATCAGTATGCCACATAGACAGTCCAGGCCTGCTCACCTCTAGTGCTATGGACGTGAGTCCTGCCTTGGCTCTGTGTGTGTGAGATATTCTCCCTGCGCGCGTGTGGGTTTCCTCCCATGGTTCAGAGCCCTGCGGTTTGGGTGTGCATGTGCCTGTACGTGTGTTTGTACAAACCTGCCTTGTGATCGGCATTTCCTGTTCATGCTGTACTGGGCTCAGACTTAACACGACAATGCACTGATCAAGGAACAATGAAAAACTGATGGCTAGAGAAATATTTATCAATAATTTAATTCTTTGCTGAAAAAGAGAACCATATATGCTGCAGCGTTGACTTTATGTCGCGATCAAATTGAATTGTAATTTGAAACATCGTGCATGCCATGTTGTTATAAATGTATTTTAAAAGTACGTCTTGTAACATTGCATATCATTTTGGTTAGGATTACTGTCTTTGGCATACTTTGAATTACAGTGCTCGCGGTAGAAGCGCAGATCAGCAATTAGGAAACCGGAACTTCAAGTCGCGTCCTAAATTAGTATCTTTGAAATGCAGAATCTCTAAATCGGCTTAAAAAACGTCAAACAGCGAGAAGCCTCGCCGAGGGCACCCCACTCTGCGACTGGGATTATTTTTAGAAACTCCTTTCTCTTTTTCTTTTCAGAGGCTTCCCCGAAGGTCTGCCTGGCAGCACAAGTTGGGATTCCACCTACGTCAATCGGGCCGTCATTGACGTCATCGGAGAGACTCGCCTCCGTTGTTCTGAGCGAGACAAGCATCTAACCGTTTTCTTGCGAGGAGGAAGACCCGTGTATCAGAAAAAGAGAAAAAAGTAACCGAACTGGAAAAAAATACCTTGGCATTGGTATCATGTTACACTGTCAGAAAGCGAAGAAGAAAAAATCCTCTGTGTTGTGGTTCTTCTTGATCTCCATGTATCAGTTTGCAATGACCTGGAAACTGAAAGGGACGTTTAAAAGAAACGGAGAGCATTCTGATCGCGCAAATGGCGGTAAGAGGAGTACTAAAAGGGAAAGAATTAAAAGGCTGCGACCGGGGATTATGACTGTCGAATTTTGTCAAATCACTGGATGCTGGAATAATTAAAAAATACAGGCAAGTAAAGACCGTGCTACCAAGCGTTTACAGTCTGTGTTGCATTCTGGGACATTTTACTTATATTCAATTCATTATCCCGCTATCAAGTTACCTCTGTGCATCTGGTTTATTGTCATTTGTGTTTTGACGTAAAAGCTGTGTAAAGTTTGGATTTTTTTTTTTATTGCCAGGAGGCTGGCGGTTCGCATCTCAGCACATTTGAAAACCGTCTCGGCTTTAATTGAATACACTGATTTACAAAGGTAACAAATAGTTTTTTGTACTAAACAGAATGCCGATCATTTTAATTTCCGACAAAATAAGTAATCATGATAATATGATACTTTGCACGTCTTTCCATGATAGCCTATAGTTACAGAAAGGTCCAGAGTGAGTAAGGTGAGGCGAGGTGGCCGTATTTATTCCTGTACGGTTATACATTATAAGGACGTGATCGTCTCAGCAATTTGCCCGGTTTGGTTTCTAGTAAATTCAATTCATTCAAGCAAACGTTTCTGGCTTGCCCTTTGTACACTGCAATGAACACACTTTACTTAAGTAGTTTAATGTTAGCCAGACACCCCCTGATAAATATTGGTTTTTTTTTAACCAACGTGGACTTTTGTTTAAAAAAATGTAAGCAAGGCGATTTCATGGAAAAAAGATGCATAGCAGATGCATAGCAGAAGCCTACGTCATAGGTTAAATATAGGCCAAAGACATAATAGAAGTAATTTAGTAAAATTGAATATTCTGACAATCCTGCTATGTCAGCAAGCCTTCCTGCTATCATTTCACTCACTGTATAGTATATAACTTTCCGTACATCTAATACTGTTACAGTAATGGAGCGTGTGACACTGGGTTGCCAGATTCTACTGTTTTATGTGTCAATCACCCACGCGTTTAGCACGTCTGTGACAGAGACACTCATAGCACACTGAATTTTATTTTCCCTCTTTTTCCCATGAATCCACCTGTAGCTATGTCTTCTGGAGCGTACGGTGCGACTGACCAGGCATCCCGTGAGAAGGAAAAGCAGGTAACGGGAGCAGGTCCATCCTCATTGTCCCTGTAACCACATCCCCCTGAGAGAGTGCACTAGCATGGGCCATACGTGAAGGAGGAAACGGGCGAATGGGATTCCATTATATCTGAGCTGAAATAGATGTCAACAAATTTTCCGGTGAAAGCTGCAAATAAATTATTAACCATGGGCTAAAATTAGCAGAGCAAATCACTGGTCTGTTTTGCTCTGTAGCAGTTGCTACACGTAATCAGTTATGTTAATATTTGAAAGCCCTTTAAAATATACTGTTAACATACCGGATAGCATTTTTACCTCATACCTTCAAGGTTGGGGAGTTCTATTCTGCCTGTATTATCCTGGTCTCCTCCCTCAGTCTAAAAGCATTTAGTTAGATTAATTGATGTCTCCAAATTACCCATGGCACGTGATTGTGTGTTTGCCCAACCTGTGATGGACTGACATCTTGAGCAGGGCATACTCTTGGAAAAATAAGTCTGATATGCATGTTGAAATTCAGGAGGTGGTACAATAAATTCATCCAGAAATTGCATTCATGAAATATGCTAATGTGCTGTAAGCAACAGTGGACGCTTTGCCTCGGCGACTATTTTAGATGTAGTACATACGGAGAAGGGAGACATAGGACAGAATTGCTGCTTGCACAAAGGTCCATGTTCGCTGACAGCTTGATGCTATCCTTGCTAGCCTCAGCTAGTGTGGTTGAAACTATCTGCAAGGGTGAGCTTGCCTGCACATACAGGCGCCAATTCAGTTTCCTGCAGTCATAATTAATAACTCAAGATAACCCAAAATGTACTTCTCTTTTATATAAATATAGCAATATTTAAAAAACGTAAAGCAGTTCCGCACCAAAGATCTGAGAGCGGTATTGTTCTGCTGTGGGCAATGACATAAGCACAATTTCTAAATACTTTGTTTTAGCAGCAACATACGTAAGTACACAGCTGATTACATCTGTTTTTGGTCTGAGTCACTTGTCCTGGAGCGGTTATAGGAGGCATGGGTATTGATTCGTCTTTAAACTTAATTTAGTTAAGTCAGGCACAAAAACTGTTTAAGTTAAAAAAAAAAAGATTAAAAATGGTATCTCAGTATTCACAGTGGTGCCTTTGGGAGCCGCTCTGAGTATAAGTATTGGTTTCTTTTCTATAGGATTTACAGTGACAAGACACAAGCATTCACAACGTTAAGAAAATTTATAGTTAATTTTTTGTAGAGCGTTCTAGATGCACAGCAGCCTTGCTTTTCGCTGATGGGTAATTATTTACAATTTCTGGTTCAGATTTAAATGGACAACAAATTATTAAAATGACCGAAAACGGTGTAAGCCCATGCATGCTTTATCTAATACATTTGCCCAACCCTTGTTTGCGTCACCCTCTTCCTCAGCTTGTGTTTTAGGTGAACACTGCCAAAACGTTTGTTTGAACATGCCGGGTGAACGCCGACAGCTATACGATCAAAGATAACAGGCTAAGCTGAGAGACAGTACGAAAGGGTGGCGGAACCTTTTATATATTACGAATGCAAAACTTCAATTCGCAGCAGAAAACCCTGAATTGCACATGGCCAAGAAAGTGTACTGCCAAAAACGTAACGCAGTATTTCAAGCCTTCAGAAACAAGTCAATGTGCTTTAAGATCAACTACACCGGTAGTTTCATTATTGCGCCCTGGACCTTATACAGTGAAAATCGCATTAAAATATAAACATTTGGTGTCGTTGTGATATCAACGCGGAATTGTTTAGGCCTATAAATAAAAACTCTTGCTGTTACATTTGAGATTCGCGCTGCAACAAATTAATTGCTGCTTGTCTTAAACAGTCCTGTAATGAAACTAAAATATTCGGAGTCAGGAAGAAGTTGTAACATTATGTGCTGTTCAATACGCGTTTTATTCTATCCATTATAATTTTACATATATTCATATTTGCTTCGCTTTTAGCTATTTGTGTCATTAATTTATTTTTAGTCCATTGAAAACAGTAATAGCGCAGTGCTTGTAGCAGTTCGGCGGCTAATTTTAGATCAGACAATGCGCCGGCGTTTGCGTCAATGGAATCCCGTGTGTGCGTCAGTCATTAGGATGTCCGTGTGAGGACGATGCCATTGGTTCATAGCCGGAAAGGTCCCCTCCCATTTCCATATACGGAGGACGGCACGCCTTAATCGGAGGTTCTTTTGACGTAACGGCACATTAAAATTGACTGTATAAATAACGACGAAGCAGTCGATCAAGGAGCGGCAGAGACGTCCGAAAGATGTGAAAAAGGCTCTTCGGCTCTGGCTTACAAATTGGAGTACAGAGATATTGCTTGATATTCTTGAATAACATCGGGTACAAACAGGTAAGTAAAGGCTCATTTTTTCTATTAGTTGGATTTCAGCCTGTTTAATTACGTTTAGTGGATGCAACAGATGCATTCACCTGACATGGGGATTTGTTGACAGCTGGAAGCAGGATTACTTTGATTACTTTTTCAAATTTCTCAGTTATTTCGTCAATAACTGTAATGCTTTTAAATGTAATTAGCTAACGGTGCAAAACGAAGAATACTTGATATACACTTGCACATCAAGGGAAACTAGGTTGTATTTTTAAAATAACTTTTTGAAAGTAACGTGCAAATGTAACCTACTTTTACGTGTATTGAGTACAAATTATATTTGTATTTTTAAAAAACCTTGAAGCGATTGCAGAAACTTCTTTTTTATTATTATTATTGTTTACAGTTACTGTCCATTTTAATTAACAGAATGCGCTATGGTCGAGTGTTGCTTTACAGATGTTTACCCTTTCGTGTGTAAACGTGTGTGTGTGTGTGTGTGTGTGTGTGTGTGTGTGTGTGTGTGTTTGCCACACCAGCTGCCCCTGCTCAGATTTATAGCCATGACTTCGAAAACTTCTAATCAAGAAACATTTCGATGTCTTTAGTTATACGGTTATGCTAAGTGTCTGAAACTATTTAGTTGAAGTCCTAATCATTTTATTGACATTATATATGTGTAATGTAGGTTGTAGACGGTCAGGGGTAGTAATTTAATTTGGGGAAGCTACAGGGAGAAAACATTGACTTTGTGGAGAGGACTTCAGCCTTCTCTTGTCGCCCTCCTGAATATAGCACCAGCTCTAGGTTTACATCTCCCCTTTTTGCAGGGCATTACTCCTAATATTCCAAACATGGATCTGTGAATAAGTGACTTGAAATCGTCCTTTTTGTGTGTATGTGAAGGTTAGTGCATTGCAATTCACTCCTAATTGCCCACATCCAGTCCTAATTTTGACATTTTTGAGTTCTTGGAGGTTCTCCAGCTCATGGTGATTGCAAGGAAAGTAGTTATTGGAATTGGATGGTTTACAAAACAGTATCTTAAACATGAACGTAAGATTCCTAACAGAAAGCATAACAGTCCTTTCTGAAGGGGAAGAAGAGTGGTAAAATATTTTCCCTTCAGTCAATTATTTCTATGTAAATTTCTCTGAATGCATATGCATGGATTTTTCCAGGTCAAAACAAACACTTCAGTCGCTTTATTATCCATATTTTTTGCCTTAATTGATATGTAACTAATGTGGGCTGTCACCAAATACTGTATTAAAAAGTCACAGAGGCAGAGTGAACTTGTCTTCCAGAGTGCAGAAGAAATCTGAGAAATGAACCCAAACATAACAATGGAGAACACTATATTCACACAAATGTGGGTGTTAATTTCTAACCAGATGTACCAAGTGTACTTGGGGAAGAAACAAGTGTTGCTTCACGTTTTCTCTAATAATACTTTGGAGAGCACGGAAGGAACTCTGATTACAGTAGTACCCATGAAGTCACACAGCAGTGGATATACAGTATTTTTCTACTTTACTTGAACTCTTTCCTGCATGTCCCGAGGTTATTCTAACTAGTTGGGAATTTTGAAACAGACAAAATTGAGAGAATCTGTAACATTGCAACCGTTCTGGCACTGCAACTTGATTCGAGCAGAAATCTACTCCTCTGCCAAGGAGACCCCATACATTCCTCCAGCCTGTCGCGTTTGCCAGCCTCACTATTTTTTTGGCACCCTGCCCTTTTCTGAAACCTAACACCTCACACCCTTACCGCTGTCAGTTTTTTTAACTCTTAAGAAGGTTGGCAGTGCATTTATAACTGTGGCGCATTAAAAACTGGTAATGCAATATCCCAAGTCAAAACTCTCGTCTGCCAGACGGGTGACTTTCAAAGGTTTCTCTGAATCTCTGTGGGAAATATGAGGGGTGGGGAAGTTTTGAAGACTGAAATGTTAGATGAGATGGGAGGTTCCGCTCCGTCAACACCCTATAAGAGTTTGCTCAGAAGGACAGTGCTGCCCCTGGGCAAGAAGTTCATTGCTGCAGTCCCAAGTCTTCTACGATCCTTCTCTGTCCCTACCATCAGTAACAAATCATAAGATTGGTGCGTTGCCAAGGTAACAAGTTGAGAGGCAGTCAAATCAATGGTTAGAGTCAGACTGTGCAGCCAATAGGCTGAAATCTGTGTAGATGAGCATTTTCTGGATGATGTTAATGATCTATTTCCTGCTTACTGATATGCTGGCCAATTCATGTATTCCGGCTAAGAATTCCAACATGGTGTCTGTTTTTTTTTTTTGTCGTACAGAAATGCCCTGCGTCCAATCCCAGTATGGAATTCTGCCCAATGAAAACAACTGCTACAACCCAGAATTCCTGAGCCCAGACCTTACTGCTAAGCTGGTCATGGATACAAGCGGGCAGCAGGACCGCCTTTCAGGTCTGCCCTTACCCAGCATCAACACTCTGATGGGCAGCTACTCCGGAGAGTTTGACGCCTACTCATGCCACATTGCCACTTCCGTTGCTTCCACCTCCACTGGGGCAAACTCTGGTCAGCAGTCACCCTTCAAGCTGGACGACTTTGAGGTGTATGGATGCTACCCTGGCACGTTCGCCCTGAGCTACCTTGACGAGACGCTGTCATCGTGCGGTTCGGACTACTACGGAAGTCCCGCTTCGGCGTCCTCGCCCTCGGCGCAGGGCTTTCAGACGCAGCCTGTGTCCACGTGGGAGACACCGTTCAGCCCCTACTCACCAGCTCCTGGATGCTGGGTGACCGACAAAGTGACCTTGCCACAGCCACCCTCCTTCTTCACTTTCTCCCCTCCGCTGGAGTTGTCATCTCCCCTGGAACAGCAGTCATCGCACCTGCAGGAGCAGGACCCTTTTGGTCAGCCTCAGCCCCAGCAGCACCATGTCCCGTTGCACTTAGCTCCAGTGCCTATGGATCAGGGTTGCCTAGACAACCCAGTGCTGGCAGAGAGGCCCGGGTCCTCCCCCAAAAACCAGAGTCCCACAACCAATGAGGGTCGCTGTGCCGTGTGCGGGGACAACGCGTCATGTCAGCACTACGGCGTTCGTACCTGTGAGGGGTGCAAAGGCTTCTTCAAGGTGTGTAGCTCTGCTTTGTGCTTATATCTATGTCTCCATACAGTTACTTTTATATTTAAGGGTCCAATGCACATAGTGCTGTGGACCATTATTGTTTTTGTTAGGATTATTATTATTATTTTCCTGCCCTAAAACTGAATGCAGCCTAAACCGTAAGTCCTAGTTTGAATTATATTTGCCGGCAACTTCATATGGCAGGTATTTAAGATAATATATACTTTAGTGTTCCCAGAGGACAGTAGCAAAGGTACATTTTGAGTGCAAAAACTGAAAAAGACAAAAACACAAAATGCAAAGATAATACACATAGTGCAAGTCATATACAAATTAGACAAAGAAAGCAGACACAGGAGCTGCTGTGGCAGACAGCTTCTCAGTGCAGTGCCGGAAGTATCATATCATGACCAGACATAAAAGTGAACAAATATAGCTGCAGTATGTCTCTTGCTCAACCATAACTTTATCAAAAGAAATCCCATACTGATTTTTTATTGCTAATTTAAGAATTGATCTAGTAATAACTGTGCATGTTGCATTTTTAAATTTTAGTCAATTCTAGTATAGCTCATGAATTTCCATTTTTTTTTTTTCAGCGGACTGTACAGAAGAATGCTAAATACGTGTGCTTAGCCAACAAAGACTGCCCAGTTGATAAACGTAGGCGGAACCGTTGCCAATTCTGCCGTTTCCAGAAGTGCCTGGCCGTGGGGATGGTGAAAGAAGGTAAAGCCAGCGACTAAAATATGGCAACCCATCTTTCATCTGTGTATAAAGCCTTCAGTATCGAGGGTCAGGTACTGGAAGTAACAAAGCCAACCTCGACTTTCCTCTGTCTTCCTTGCAGTCGTGCGGACTGACAGCTTGAAAGGTCGCAGGGGTCGCCTACCCTCCAAGCCCAAGAATATTCAAGACTCTGCATCCGCACCGACGACTACCATCGATATCATTTCATCTCTTGTTAGGGCGCACATCGACTCCAACCCAGCTGCTGGAAAACTGGACTACTCTCAGGTGAAGATCCTACAGCCTCTCAATGTCTAATCCCCTTTGCATAGGGAAAGGTCTACCATAGAATGTAAAACAGCCGGTCAGCTTAGCTAATTTTCACTTGATCTCACCCCCCCCCCCTCAGTTCCAGGAGGCAGTGGCCAACCTGTCTGAGAAACACAATGCCAGAGATGTCCAACAGTTTTACGACTTGTTAACACATACTATGAAGGTGATCCGGAAATGGGCAGAGGGCATCCCTGGATTCACGGCCTTCTGCCCTGAAGACCAGGAGCTCCTCCTGGAATCTGCCTTTGTGGAACTTTTCATCCTACGCCTTGCATACAGGTATGTCTTGGCTTAGTGCCGAAAGCACACTTGGATCCCTTTGGTGCACTGAAACCTTGTGAAAGTTTACTACAGAAAATATGAGAGGATTCACTTTTCATATCAATACTATAATGTTTCATTGTTAATATGCAACACTGTAACACTGCCATACTGCTAAAACAGAAGATCTATGAAATGTTCTTTAACATTTTACATTTTAACAATTTTTACATGTCTGATGCAGGTCGAGCCCAGAAAAGGACCAACTGATCTTCTGCAATGGGGTAGTGCTCCATCGCATGCAGTGCATGCGAAGCTTTGGTGACTGGATAGACTCCATCATGGACTTCTCACAGAGCCTTCACCGCATGAATCTGGATGTTTCCTCCTTTTCCTGCCTGGCGGCTCTAGTCATCATTGCAGGTTAGCTGGATGCACCTCCACGGAGGAGACATGTCTCCATAGGACAGAGGGCCCAGTTTTGTCCATTGACCATGCGACCACCTTTTGTTTCTCATATCTTTATATAGTTTTTGATCAGCCACATTCCCATATAGGCAAAAAGATCAAGTATACTGTCAACACTGTGCACTTATGGGTTGTTTTCCGGAAAACAGATGAACATGATCTGGGTTTTTTTTTCTGTTGAATTTTATTTGAGGTCCTAGTTTGAAATGACCATATAAGCATGATATAGAGTCTCATATGTGATCTGTGTACAATTACTAGCTGCACTTTTGAAATTTATTTATTGTATTTTACCCTACAGACCGTTACGGACTCAAGGAACCAAAGCGTGTGGAGGAGTTCCAGAACCACCTGATTTCCAGTCTGAAGGAACACGTGGCCAGCAACGGCATGGACTCCAGCCGACCCAACTACATGTCATGGCTTCTGGGGAGGCTCCCAGAGCTACGGACGCTGTGCACCCAGGGCCGCCAGCGAATTTTCTACCTTAAGCTGGAAGACCTTGTTCCCCCACCGCCCATCGTGGACAAGATCTTCATGGATGCCCTGCCTTTCTGAACTTGAGGAAGAGGGTTCATTGACAATTGGGGTGACACTCGATGGAGACAAAGAGAAAATGAGACGCTTTTTCCACTGCCTGCAGGACGATATTTCCGGACCCTGGATCCATATGCTTGGTATCATTTGGTCGCTTTGCACTGATTGGTTAATCCAGTCCCTCTGATTCTGGCCCACAACTAAACACCACTTTCAGGAAATATGAGCTTTATTGTTACACATACGACTTACTGAAATGGACTCTATCCTTTTTGGAGAAAACAGGATAGGATAATATGCCATTTCTGTACAAATTAATGTATGTACATTTTGATGTGATTTTATGGCTGTGCAAAACCTGTAATTGCACAGAGAAGAATGATACTGGAGAAAAATGAAAACGAGGACCATCTCTACAAATACTGACAGTATTAATATTAATCATGATTTAAAGCCAATGGTTTTCAAAGCCTTAGTACTGGTTGTAAGGGTTGAGAATAAAGACCTACTGGAGGTACTGGTAGTGATACCTGCATAGTCAGCCCTTGCTTGCAATGTCAGATGGCTCTTTGCTTTTCCGCATATCATACTTTGAGATTAGCTTTCAAAGTAGCTGGATACCTTAAGCATTAAAAACAAAATCATGGACCAAATGAGGCTATTTTGTAAAATGCTGAGCCTTGTTTTGTGAATCAGCAGCACATCTCATTTATAGGCCATTTTGTGCAACAGAATTTCTCAGAACATATCTATAAAAATATAATTATCCTAAGCACTGCGTTCCTCATTTTGTACTCACAATACCTGTGCAGCAATGACATCACAGCTCTTTGTGAATAGTGCCTTATTCAAGGTTCTCCATGCTACTGTCACTAATTATTATCATAGATAAACACGCCCCCCGCCCATTCATTTTCTGACAATCTGATAGGTATTATTGGTTTGACTTTCCATCTGTAGTCTAACTTTGCTTCTAACTTTGTCCATAGCCATGTCTATATATTGGCAAACAACGGGAAGAGCTGTTGATGTTGCTACTCTTGCCTGCGCACTGTACCCTCCATACAAAAATTATGTACATTTATCATGTATTTTAAAAAGTGACTTTATGGCTAAATGCGTGACAAATGTATTAAGATGAGCAGCTATGGGTACTTTCTGCAGTTGAGGTGTTTTCATTGCTATTCATTTCTTTTATATATGTGTATGTATATTAATAGCAGAAAGACTTTATATTTGTGAAGTTTTTTTTTTTAGTTTTGTGGTTATGTGATATTGAGAAAAGATATTTAATATAAAAAGTTTTCAAATGACTGGCTACTAGTGTTGCCTTCGTGCTTTGGTTTAGACCTCAGTTGGATCCCACATAGATGAAGGTAATTCAACCTCACCTGGCATGGGACTCGGTACAAATACTGTGTCATGATTCCCCAGTTCTTGGACTGCAATGACCTGTTCATGTGGGACTGTGACACTATGTTCCAAGTCTTCCTGGCCCAGGGCTATGTCAAATAAAAACAGTGCCGCTACAGTAATATGGTTAGACTTTCTTTATTTTTTTTAGGTATGATTTAGGTTTTAGTTGGACTTGAATGTGTGAAGAGGAGAACCTTGCATCAGGAATTTAAAACCACGATTTACACCAGGAAAAAGAAGCCGATGAAGCAGAAACGAACATCTGTGTTCTGGGAGTTGTGGTCTGTATAGTGAATGTGGATGTCAGAGTATTGGCATATGAGCCCAGTGCAGTGAACATATGCTACACTGTATCATTAGGATTTCAACCATAAATGCAGTCCAGTGCAGCTTACAGGTATCACTAAGGTTTGGATGGTAATAAAAGCATCTCCAATTATAATAAAGAAATATATATATATATAAATAAAACGTTGACTACAATAGATGAATGAAACTAAATTTGATACAATTAACAAAAAAATGGGAAAAATATTTTTAAAAATATATATTCACATTTCACAGATTGCTTATTTGACAGTGTGTTATAAACTGGAGTGCTATTGTAACAATAAATTTGAAAATTTGAGGAGTGATAAGAAGATTTTGAGAAATTGTCCACTGGTTATTTAGTGAGCAACATGTGTTTTGTCAGTTGATTCAACCATTATGTGATGGAGGGATGTGCTTTGGTTTTCTAGTAAGTGATGTGAGAGATGTGAATTTCTGAGATGCTGAATTCCAACTAAGAGCTTTTCTTTGACATCTTTGCAGAACTCATAGCCTAGATACCATGAAGTTGTCAGTTGTCAGTGTAGTGTGCGGATGTGTCTGAGTTAGGAAGTCCAGTTTGAGTTGAGTGAACTCTGGCTTATCTTATATTGGATTTGTTTTAGTTTATACTTCTGCTGATCTCAAGGTTTTTTCACCATCCACGAATTACTAATCAAATAAAACATTTGTGGTTGTTGTTTGTCTTTGAGCTAGCTTCTAGTTAATTTCTTCAGCAAGTGGGTGTGGCTTTAAACAGTCGTCAAATAAATTATCTTTAGCAATTTATCACCATATTAAGCTGGAATTATTGTAAACATTACTCTTTCTCAGTGGTGTATTCATTTTGCACAAAGCTCTCAGGGATGTGGAAATTACAGGGCTTTTTTAAAGATTATTGTGTTTTATATTATTACTGAGATAAGGTAGGTTGACTTTCTCCATCTGTTGTTTGTTGTATTTTTATCTAGTGATTGTGGTAATGGTTTCCATGCATCCATTCAGATAAATATTGTAGATGATTTGCCAGATAATAAAGATGAATTTTGGCTTTGTAATGTTCTTGCAATGATTGGTTTTGGTAACTTTCCTCTAGTGCTGTGTTACTATCTAAGCCAATGAATGCAATGAAGCATGCTACTGTTTACTGTCTCTAGTAGAAGTTTCAAGGCTAACTGTATGAATCCTCAATAGCCTTCACTAGATTGTCCCAGGTTTATTCCAGTATTCATAATAATATGAAATGATTGCACATGCTGCTGCATTGGAGATTTAAAATTGTTTCTTCTTTTTGGAAGCCTTCTAGATTTAGTAGTTCACTTATTTTATATCATAGTATTAACGTTTCAGTTTTGGTGAATTTGGGGCTGGTGTAATATCCTAGTGCAAGAATGGAAACGTTTTTAATACCCTGATGGTTGGTGATGTCTATGGAGTAGTCTATGCTTGGTTGTTTCCTTTGCAGTTCAGCCAGAATGGATAGTCTGTAGAAATTATGGTTACTTAGTTTTTCCAGATTTTCCATAAATAACCATGTAGATTATCAAGTTTTGGTGACGACAATCAAGTTGTGTACAAAATGCAGGAACTGGTTTGTAGTCAAGTTCTACCCCTTGAAAGTGAACAGCATATTACAGCATACAGGACAGAGCAGATTCCACGGTGGTTAGATTGTACTAAATTTAATAAGGGATGAAACTGTAGGGCCGTTTCTGGCTGTACTCAACATAGCTGTTTAAGGGGTATAACCAAAGGTCCAATGTTGGGAATATCTGTACTACAAATATTTTGTAGCCCTTAAATAATCCATCCATTCATCATTCAGCTGCCTATATTGGCCAAAGTTATAGGGCTATTAAATAATAAATAATAGTCTTCATCATTATTAATGAATTAATGAATTAATTTCTATTAATGGGTATTAATTCGACCCATCTGTCAATCCATCCATGCATTTGTCCATTTTTCATACCCACTTGTCCTATGCAGGGTTCTCTACTTTTTTCTCAACTTTTCTTGGGTTTTACATTTATCTATGGAAGACCGTTTTGTGTATCAGTCTTTTTCTGGGATCTTCCATGGAGTCATATTTCATAACCTTTCCCAGATCTATGGATTGACATAATGATATCCGGTTATGTTATAGTGGGTATAAGTTATTTGCTGACATACATTAGATGGACAAAAGTACTGAGACAGACCTCTTAATCATTGAATTCTGATGTTTCTTTCAGACATTGGCACAGGTGTATAAAATCAAGCACCCAGCCATGCAGTCAGATTTACAAACATCTGTGAAACAATGAGTTGTTCTTTAGAGCTTAGTGGATTCAAGTTTCGATTATTTTAAAGCGTGGTGCTGTCATAGGATGCCACCTTTTGCAATAAACCAGTTCATGAAATTTCTTCCCTGCTAGATCTTCCACAATTAACTGTAAGAGGTAATACTGCAAAGTGGAAGCATTTAGGAACAACAGAAACTCAGCCATGAAGTGGCAGAACACGTAAAGTAACAGAGCAGGTCACCGAGTGCTGAGGTACATAGTGTGTAAAAGTCACCAACGCTCTGTTGACTCAATAACTGCAGAGTTTCAAACTTCCTCTGGCATTAACCCCAGCACAAAACCTGCAGCCCTTAGTTCCATAGAAGGGAACAATTAATGCTTCTGCATACCAATACATTTTGGATAATTCTATACTGTCAACATTGGAGTAATGGTTTGGGGAAGGTGGCCCTTTTCTGTTCTAATATGACTGTACCCCAATGCACAAAGCAAGGTCCATAAAGACATGGTTGGATAAGTTTGGTGCGGAAGAACTTGACTCGCCCACACAGAGCCCTGACCTCAACCCCATCGTACACCTTTAAGATGAACCATAAAAGAGATTGTGAGCCAGACCTACCCATCCACCATTAGCACCTGACCTCACAACTCTTCTGGTCGAATGGGCAAAAATTCCCACAGACACACTCTAAAATGATGTGGAAAGCCCTCCCAGAAGAGTGACAGCTGTTACAGCTGCAAATGGGGGACTAACTCCATATTGATGCCTATGGATTTAGATTGGGATGTCATAAAACTTCCTGTAGGTGTAATGACTCAATACTTTTGATTGTATGGTGTACCCTTCAGTTTTTTATTTTGAGTGGATTTCAGAATTGTTTATGGGGTATCTCTACCATAAATAGATATATACATTATATTTTAAAGCTGGCAGCTAATACACACCCTAAAATATGCATACAGCTGTGGACAGAGACCATTAATTATCTCTGAGTATTATCTTTCCTTAAAATGGAGTGCTATGTTTGTGCTATATGATACTTACACGTATGGTGCTGCTTCACTACAGACTACCATATTTTTAGCATCTCGTACGAGGAGCAAAGCCTGGGGGACATTTTCCTGATTGTCTGCTGCACATACAACATACATGTTTTTATGTTTAATCTGCTTTGGGGAAAAGAAAATATAAATGGATTTTTAAAATCTTTTTTGGCAGACTAATGTTTGTAAAAGCATGCAAACGAATAAGTAGTTGTCACTGACAATCAATTTGAAGCCACATAAGGCCCTGGATCAGAAATAGTGAACACACTTTGTTTTATTTATTTATTTGTTTGTTCAGTTGTTTGTTTCTCCTTTAGTTCTTTTTTTAATTACTGATCGCAACATCACACGACCTGGGGGACACCGGACGGGTGCGCTGACAAGTGAGAAAGGGTTTCAAAGTGCCGTGACCAGCATGCAAGAGATGACTATAGAAGATAGGTCCTCCTCCTAAAGTAGGGAGGTAATTCCCCATGTTTGGCCTTTAGCAGCTGTCATGCCGCAGATAGACTGCGTTTGAAATAACCAAGGAGCTTCTCAAACTGGACAGGGGACACTGGGCGAAGGCCGCTGACCACACCGTGCCACTCGACCACCCACTGTCCCAGGCACGTCTTCACACCCAGAAGGAATGGGCTGCCACGTTCGGCCAATCTGTGCAACAATGTCCTTCCTCACTAAGGTCATCTGTTTTTGGATCCCTCTGAGATGACAGATCAGTAAATCAGTCAGTTTTAATTTAGCACGTTTTTATGATGACCAAGTTCTCAAAAAGTATGTTAAAGTACATAAGAGAGTAAGAGAGAAGAAAGCAAAGTTACTGGTACGGAGAAGGCTGGAAGGCATTCTTTGACCCTTTGTAAGAAGGTTGCAGAGTAAGTACTCCCAGAAAAGTTTATTTAATTTAAGACAAGAAAATATGCAAAATGCATTGGTGTGAAAATAGGGAAAATGCATCTGTCCTTACGCGCAATCGAATGCAAAAGCAGTGGGTGAGACTGTGTATCCAGGAGTCTTGTACACATAAAAACACTCTCTTACATGTACAAATATAGGTAACCATGCTCATATGAAAAGATACTCAAGCATAAAAATAATACTAATGGAATGAATGAGGAGTATATGTCCATTTTGCAAATCTGTAGTTTCACCAAAACTGCATGCCATTGTTTGGCTGTGCTATCCACAGATGTAGGGAGTGTGGAAACCCAGGAGCTGGGTATTTTTAGCCCGCCATTGTTGGGTACTAGAAACCTCTGCAACATGATCTTACCCCAAGCTTCTGCTATAAATAACTCAGCTGAGCTGCCATAGCACCAAATGCATGTCCCTTTAAATATATGAATTTGGAAAGGGCTGGTGTATTTGGTTTTAGTGTGTTTGCTACATGCAACGGTTTGTTACCGAGTTGTTGTTTTGTGGAGCCTTGCAACTATTTTTTAACTTTCGTTACATTCATACACACACACAGCCTAATATTACATTAATTCTATTCAAACATATGACACAGTCGTCAGTAAGTATTAATATAGCACATTTAAAAGCAGCCCCAGCTGACCAAAGTGCTGTACAATGATAAAATCAAAAACATGTCAAGTAGAAAAGAAAAGGAAAAAGGCATAGTGACACAAACAAATCTGATACAAAAAATGGATAAAGTAAAAAATAAATACATACTGTAAAACTTATTACACATACAAATATATATATGTGGGAGTTCACTGAGAAATATAATATAATATAATATAATAAATTACCCCCATTGAGAAACAGGCTTGCTTTTCCCTGGTCTTACACTAATGTTTGAGTTGTAGACTGCAGCTGCAATGCTATCATTAAAATGCATGTTTACAGACCTAATACAAAGGTCACATGATCATGCACACTGACAATAAGAATCCCGTGGGTACCTATATAATGGAGTGAAAAGAAGCATAGCTCCATGGTGCTGAACTTGTTTGCACTAGAAGCAACCACAGTTTGCAAAGGATTGTGAGCTCGGTTGGAGCTGGAGGAGTGGTACTGTAGGTGTGGTGCAGGTGGTAGGAGGAGTCTGGTCATAAGGGATTCTAGCAACAAGACTCATGCCCTGTGCAGATGAAAAAATGTAACATCCATGCCAAGTTGTGAAGATTAAGTTTTATAATCTTTGGGGGACTAATGTTACCACTCCAGCAACACATCACATGCTGTGCTGGAAAATTTCAGCTCAGAGAACATGAGAATGTTACAATTACACAACCAGAGTGACATGGAAGCTTGGGTTTCACTTTGCGAATGACAAGTACTGGCTGGGAGCCCAAACAGTGTCCTTGGCAATTCTGCAGTCAGGCAAACCTCACTAGGAAGGTCACAAGAAACATGCTGTACACTAGGTAGC